GACTCCTTTGCCAGCAGTGTGTGCTGCAGTGTTGTCTGCCTGCCTGAAAGCTTCAGAAAAGGATTTCTCGTGACTGCGTAGGTATTCGTCTTCCACTAGTGCTTTCAGCACTGCCTCTGGCGGTCTGGAGCGATAGGATATAGAACGCTGGTTACTGACGTAACTGTGGTTCTATGACTAAGTGAAAGACCGCCAGAGTCTCTGGTCACTCGGCATTGCGAGAATGATCAAAGAGATAGAAGTGACGTGCTGAAGGGTTATTATAGCTCAGGGCACGTGCCAAGTCATGAAGTGACAACTAGTTATTCGATTCTCGGTCAAGCGCGAGCATGAGGGGTTTTCCACTACTGCTTTCAGCACTGCCTCTGGCGGTCTGGACGATAGGAAATAGAACTACTATTTACTAATATTACTACTAATATTTTATTATTATTATTATAACAGCTCAGGGATGTTCAAAGAGCAACATGTTTGTGCAATTTCTAAAGATTGTAGTTGTTTTTGAAAGAACAGTTGGAAATTAATGCTTTTCTTGTTTTTTTTTTATATCAGATTCATCAATTAATCTAAAAAATAATTGTCAGATTAATCAAGTATTAAAATAATTGTTAGTTGCAGCCCTAATCCATACATTTCTGCAATGACTCAAATAACTTATTGATGGTCATCGGGAGTGGCAAAGAAAGCATTCTTGCAGGACTTCCAGAATTAATCAAGATTATATGTTTTCATCTTCAATGCCTCCTCCTTTATCTTACCCCACACATGCTCAGTGTTCATGTCTGGTGACTGGGCAGGCCAATCCTGAAGCACCTTGACCTTTTTTGCTTTTAAAAACTTTGTTGTGGAAGCTGAAGTATGAGGAGCGCTATCTTGCTGAAGAATAGGCCCTCTCCTGTGGTTTGTAATGTAATGGGCAGAACAAAAGTCTTGATACCTCAGGCTGTTGATGTTGCCATCCACTCTGCAGATCTCTCGCATGCCCCCATACTGAATGTAACACCAAACCATGATTTTTTCTTTCTGCAAACTTAACCGATTTATGTAAAAATCTAGGGTTCATGCCAGTTCCAATAGGTCTTCTGCAGTATTTGTGATGATTGGGATGCAGATCAACAGATGAGATGATTTATCAGAAAAATCTACTTTCTACCGCTTTTCCAAATGATCAACTAGAACAGTGGTCACCAAACTTGTTCCTGGAGGGCTGATGTCCAGCAGATTTTAGCTCCAATCCTAATCAAACACACCTGAACAAGTTAATCAAGGTCTTACTAGGTATACTTGAAACATCCAGGCAGGTGTGTTGAGGCAAGTTGGAGCTAAACCCTGCAGGGACCGAGATTGGTGACCCCTGAACTAGAAGAATGGTCAAGTAATTATTTGTTGCTCTTACACATGAGATTGACAACAAGACTTTTGTCAGGTACTCATACTTAGCTAACGTTAGCAAACACATTAACTAATGGACCATTTTTCTAAAGTGTTAGCATCAAATCAAAAGCTCACATCAATTCAGCCATTTAAATAAGTCAACAGAGAGTCATCCAACACAGCAAACAAAATAGCCAAAGCACATAATGTGGTTTCACAGAAAGCTTCAATGACAATAGTCTACTGATACCAAATTACCTAATTATACCCTTTCCAGTTTAATTCTGAACAACTTCAAGTTAGACTTGCGAACTGTAAACCGACAGAGCGACAAATCAGATATCAGACTTTATGCAAGCTATGCAAGTTACTCATGCTCCATTTAGGCTGTAGTTACCTTGGCAACAACAAATGAACTTATCTGATGTCTGAACCAGCGTGATATTATTAATAGAGAGCATTTAGAAAGACTGTAATAAGGGGCTAAAAGTTGACATGCAAATCATGCAGACGACAGAAGATGGGAGTTATTGGCTGAGGGACTCTGCGTTGACAGAATAATACAATAAGGACAGGAAATAAAAGGGATTTGACATTTTCAGGCAACTCAATTGCTGACCTCCACATGCAGCCTCAGTTCTGCTATCGTATAATGATTGATGAGAGGCAATTTTCTGTCATCCTTACTTCAGATGGAAGGCAGCTATTTAAAACCGACTACAACCTTTACCTCACTTACAAAGCAAAAAAAAAAAACCATTAAACTACAAAACAAACATATACACTCACTGGCCACTTTAATAGGTACACGTCCAACTGCTTGCCAATCACAGCCAATCACATGGCACCAATTCAATGCATTTATGCATGTAGACATTGTCAAGACGATCTGTTGCAATTCAAACCCAGCATCATTATGAGGAACACAGGGGATTTAAGTGACTTTGAACATGGCATGTTTGTTGGTGCCAGACAGAAACTGCTGATCTACTGGGATTTTCACGCAAAACCATCTCTAGGGTAACAGAAAATGGTCTGAAAAATATAAAATATCCAGTGAGCGGAAGGCACAAATGCCTTGCTGATGCCTAATTCGCACAGGTTCAACTAAAATTGGACAATAAAAGCTTGATTAAAAAGTTGCCTGGTCTGATGAGTCTCGATATCTGCTGCAACAGAAATCCTTACACAGTGGTGTTCCGACCCTCCTCCGCTGTGATTGGACTGCTGGCTCAAAAGTAACACTAAGGCTGCATTTACACTGCAGATCTTGGTTGTCAATTCCGATTTTGTGACTGTATCCGATTTTTTTGATGACCTGCTTACATCATCTTTTAAAAGTGAATCGTATCCGATCATTTGCATTTATACAACACACGGCAAAGGCGCAATGACCAGAAACAAAAAAAGAGCAGGCGCTGACTAACAGCTGATAATAAAAGAATGTTATTTTCTCTATTCCTGTATGTAATCTGTTTGCAGCTATTGACAAGCTGTTTTACTATAGTTTATGACAGAAAGGTTCTTATTTGTCCATCTTCTTTTGATAAATAGGCTTTTTTTTAAACTTTAGGCATCTTAATGTGATGTTTATGGCGTGATTTATGCATGTAATCTATGCACTAGTTAGTCTATATTGGTTACGTGGCGGACATTGCACTCTCTTGCTCTCGTTAACATGCTAAAATACCTGTGCTATATGACAATATAAAAGTATAAGTGCTGTATAAGTCCTCTTGTATGAGATTTAAGGTTAGGGACTCTGCTGAAGTCTGTTCTGAAATTAAATTGTCAGACTTGACATAATTCGCAACTGTTTTTAATGACGTGCGACTCGCATTGACAGGTGCAAATCCGATCTACCTACTTACACTGCAGACACAAGGGCACAGATCCGATTCCTATCGGATAAATTTCACATATGAACAAGGTCTGAATCTGAAAGGAGTAAATCGGTATCCTTGTAATTTGTTTACGCTTACACGTACATGGGCCATATTCGTTCTGTGCCACATGGGAGAAAACAATCGGAATTGAGTCACTTAAACAGTGCAGTGTAAATGCGGCCTAATTGTCGCTGCTTTTTTCATCTTGCAACAGCTAAAACAAACAAACGCAGATCTTTCAGCGCAACTGTCAACAAATAATCTGCTAAACACTTTCAACTTGTAACGGAATAGTGAGGATACTCCGTTTCATAGTAACCAACAGAAAAAAACGCTGCTCTGCAAAAACGCTGCTCTGCAAAAACGCTCACAACTTTAGAGGACATGCAGCCTTATATGAGAGATTAGGGCTGGACTCACATGACCATGCTCTGTTAAGGCTACTTTATACTTCTATGTCGAATGCACGGGTATCGTCCGGTGCAGCCTTAGTGTGGTCTCATTCGCATGCACCTCTCAAAAAACATGACTACACATTGAACATTTGCACTACATTGACGATAATGGGAAGCTGCGGCAGAAACGGCATATTTTTCATTAAAATAAAACTATTAAAGTTAAAATATTTGTTTACAGAAGATTTAGGAAATGCTTTAAAATATTATTTACAGGATATACAAGATGTTTTATTTTGAATTAATACTGCTTATTTTCTACTTTTATTATGAAAAACTGAAAATAAAAAATTTTGTAGACAAAAGTTATTTATTTTCAAAATTTTTATAAGAAAAATGTGACTGTTGGTTTTAGGCAATGTGTGATTTAATTTCAGCTGTTCAAAACTGGGCATACATGAATAAATAAATAAATAAATAAATAAATAAATAAATAAATAAATAAATAAATAAATAAATACATAAATAAATAAGTAATTCATTCATTCATTCCTTAATCGTAATAGAGATCAAATGTTTAATTAATTGAGATTTAGATTTTAGCCCAAATCAACCAGCCCAATGACAGATCCGCTGATAGATCAGCTGATAGGTGTGGTTTTCAAACAAGAGTTAAAGTGATGACCTTTACAGCCAATCACAGTCATATCTGTTAAGCACTCAAATGTTAGCAAGAAATGGACAATACTTAGCACATGAACATATATTTAAACACACCGGAGCCAGTTCAGAGAGTAATAAAACATGAGGGAAAGCTATTTTTTACATAATTGTAAAACCCGAAAAATCATAGAAGTCATACCAAATGGTTCAATGTTATATTGTGCCGTGTGGCATCCCTAGTAATTACATTCACCAAGAAAACAATATTTTCTGAATTTCTGAAACAATTCTGAGCAAATAAATGCAGCCTTGGTGATCAGAACAGTCTCCTTTCCAATTGATGACCTTTGACATTTAAGTCTGCGTGTATTGCCGAGACTTTTCATGCATGTTAATGTACTTTCAAGTAAAAAAGAATATTGTGTAGCGGGCGGGCTTGCTTTTGTGCATAATTCCTTCTCAGCAAACTAATGGTAGGGAGCATATCAGGTTGATATCAACAGAAAAACTGCCACTCCAAAGGTGGAAGCAAATGGTTAGATTTTGATATAAGATTACAAAAAAAAAATAAACCTTTTAATTAACTTCCACAAATAATAAGTATAACAATGTAAGTCAGCAAAATAAACATTGTAATATTTGACTTCACACAGACTTATAACTTTAAAGGACTTAGACTCACCTGGATGGTCTGGCATGCATGACTGCCATTGTTGGTGAGGATAGCAGACACAGCCTGTAGGGTTTTGCCGGTGTCTCCCCAAGCCACCACCAGGCTGAAGAGGCAGGCGCAGGATAACGCTGTCAGGGTCTGACCAGTGGGGTCATTCATCCCTGTGCTCCGCACCGTTGTCTCCAACAGAAGGTGGAACAGAGACTCTGCAGGGCCAAGAATGGTGTCAGAATGTAAATTTACATGCTCTCTTACATGTTCCTTTTTTATTTGAAGAAGGGAAAGGATCTTACCCAGCACATCTGGTGGTTCGGTCTGAAAGCTCTCTGGCTGCTGTCCCTGGAGCATATCTAGAAGGGCCTGAAGGCTCCGTAAGCACAGTGACGGGTGCGAGAAACGGGTCTCTTTGATGAGCTCAAACACTCCACACAGTCCAATCCCAATGATCTGGGGAGGAGAGGATCATAGTTATGATATAATATTCTCCAACACTAGTGCTCGAATGAAATGACATTTTTATGGAAATGACAGCTGGCAGACACATGGAATTGACAATGGAAGAATTTCCCCTCAGTTGTATGAAAACTGATTAATTAAATATATATGAACCAAACCAACTCTACGATGAATCACAACAGAAACTTTTAGGCCCAACTTTACACTAATACATTTAAGTTTTAAAATGCATAAGTTTTGCTACAGTTACGCCTTTCGTCCACAAAAACGGTGCGTTTTGAAAACGCTGAAGAGGTTTTTTTTTTTTTTAAACACTGCTGCTCTGTGTCAGTGTGAATCGGGGAAATGGAGACATCTGAAAACACAGGTGTGGCTGCAGACATCTGATTGGGCCTTTTTCTTAATATCTAATAGACAAAGTTCAGTCTTGCATCCTTTGCTTGTAAGTTAAGACTTTGCAAGCTTGATATGGAAAACAAACTCCACAGAAAGCGTTGGGTAATTCTTCAAAAGGAACAATGTACTTTAAAATGTCATTCACATCACCCCGGCTACGTTGTTTCACTTTCGTAACAATAAAATGAAAACATGATATTAACTGCTTATTTTCATTTGGATATTAGCAACTTAACAGACACCAAAATTGTTAAGGCATCATATAAGACCATCATCTTTACGGTACGCATTTATAACAAAAAGGAGCCTATAACAGCCTCCTTTAATTTTCATTGAATAATAAGAAACATACCCTCTCTTTTACTGAATATCAGTTTTAATAATCAATAATGGCTATTATAAAAGTATAACGTACAATAAGTTAATACATTATAGTAATTAAAGGCAAACAATCAATCAAATGTGCAGAATCTGTGCACGTTGTTATATAAATTAATATGTTACCGTATCTTTGCACTTAGCCAAAACACATACCTGAGAACAAGTCATTGATTCAAAAGACCAAAGGTGAATTAAATATCACGTTTAACAACTGTAATGAGATGAGGGTCCAGCAGTATACCCTTGATGAACAGTCCGACGTGCGCTGCTCACACCTGGGGATGTGTGCTCAAAGCACCAGCAGACTGCCTAGAGCTCAGGCGTCCACATACGCTGTAGTGCATGTCAAAGTGTGTGTGTGTGGTCAATGACGTGCATTTTCAGCGGTATAGTGTGGAAGAAGAGCTGTTCAGAAATGCTAGGTGAAATGCCAGTGTGGACGCAGATCCTTTTCGTTTAGTGATAACGTAATAGTGTGAACGAGAAATATGCTTTTAAAACATTTAGAAGATAGACAGAATCGCTTCTATTATTGATATTTATCCTAATATGCAAATTTCATTCATTCATTTTCTTGTCAGCTTAGTCCCTTTATTAATCCGGGGTCACCACAGCGGAATGAACCGCCAACTTATCCAGCACGTTTTTACGCAGCGGATGCCCTTACACCCGCAACCCATCTCTGGGAAACCTCCGCACACACACACACACACTCATACACTATCGACAATTTAGCCTATCCAATTCACCTGTACCGCATGTCTTTGGACTGTGGGGGAAACCGGAGCACCCAGAGGAAACACACGCAAATGCAGGGAGAACATGCAAACTCCTCACAGAAACGCCATCTGAGCCGAGGTTCGAACCAGCGACCCAGCATCCTTCTTGCTGTGAGGCGACAGCACTACCCAGGGCTTGAAATTGCGACCATTTTGGTCGCAAATACACCCAAAATTTTATCTATGCAACATCAAAATATCTTTGGGAGCATTTGTGCGAGTGCATAAAATTGTTGTTTGCGACCTGTTTTTACTGCAAAATGTTCACTACATGCGTGGATTTGGGAGACATTCACGCAGAATGCAACTTTAAGCTCTTTGTCTGCACTTGAAACGCGAAATGCAGTGCTCAGCAATGATTTAAAACAGTTCTTATGTCAACTTGCTGCAGTAAACAAAGCCAAGTGCGTAATGCTTTGCGCTCTTCTTATTGGCCCACCACTGCTCTAGCCCTGAAATATCAGCCGTTAATCACTAAGTCAATGCCTTCTGGCTTGGGATGACAGCGAGCTATTACTGCGAAAATTTGTAAAACGCTGAAGATGAGAATGAAGATAACACTGACAGATTTTGTTTTAGAAACCATGGCATCTAAAGTAACAAATAATGACACATCGTACTAGTGACCATTTGCTGAATGTTAATCCACCATCTACACTTTTTGAAGAGTGGATAAAAGACTTCCGTTGGCTTCAAGTCCGCTATGAAAAGTCTGTGGGATGGAATTTTCAGGTAACGGTTTGCCACATCTAGCACGAGAGCTTCTGTTTAATCCTTCATATAATCCCCAGATGCTGTCTGGCGTGCAAGTGGCAGCTATATGTCAAATATAACACCACGTACACCATCACAAATGGGCTTGCACTGAGTAAACTAACATTGCTACTCATAAAAAGACCGGTATTGCTATGAACATGACGTATGCATATAAGAAGGTACAGTATGTCAAAAACATCAGTGCAATATTAGACACGACCCGTGAGAACAGCACAGTTATATCTTTAACAGATTCATTCATGTCAAGCAGAGCGTGCAGGGCCGGTGAGCAGTCCGAGTATGCTTTGGTCACTCAGTTATGTTATAAAAATCTATTTTCTTGTGATAACGGGATTTCGTTGAGACATAATTTTCTTATGCTTGCATATATATTGCTTGTTAGTTTGATTACTGTTGATTTCAAATGCAATAAATCTGTTTGTATAAAACTTGTAGTAACAGTGGTTATAATTGGTGGGTGCGACTAAATTTTGGCTGATGCGCCTACATTTTTCAAGTTAGGAGCACCGGTGCTACCAAGCAAAATGGTTAATTTCGAGCCCTGCTACCTATTGCGCCACTACGTCGCCTATACAAATTTTTTAAATCAAAAAATTATAACTTCCTAAGGAGACTAAGGCCCAATCCTAACTCTACCCCTTGGCCCTTCCCTTCAGTTTATGATACATGCCCTCAGTAATTTTCGGAAGATTAATACCAAATAAAGCTGTTGCAATTGGAATAACCACAGCAGTCGCCATCGTCGATCACATATGAAGCAAGAGATCACGATGACATATGATGACGTGTGCAGATGTTGTAGTGCTGTCCCATTTCTTAGGTGCAAATTTTAAAGTCCTTGAAACAGTGTGAAGGGGAAGGTGTACGTTTACAAATATAGAACTAAGATTGGGCCTAACCATATTCACATCAGCAATTTTTATTTATTTATCATTCTTTTTAATTCCAGCCAAATTAAAATAAGTAAAAAATAAACTTAACAAAATAAACTATTGTAAAAATCCCTGCCGACATCATATTGTCTACAACAATTTATCATTTATAATTTATAAATCATAAATATTTAATAAAAAAAAAAACTTATTTTGAGAACCAATACAAAAAAAAAAACTATGTTTTATTTAATCATGATTGCCCTTTCAGGAAAATCCATCTGCCAATCCAATTGGATTGGTTTTAATTTATTTAACTAGCTTCCTGAATAATTTACACATGGACATTAAAACACCATTTACATAAGTAAAACACTCAGCTAAGACTGTAAAATTCCTAATAATTATTCCAAATTATGCTAATGTTTCCTTTTTGGATTGAACAATTCTTCCTTGAGAGAGTTAACAAAATGTTCTTCTAGAACTATTCCAATTCAATTTTCACACTCTGGGTCTATTTTTAATTCTCTTTATGCCTGCACATGCGGCAGAACTGACAATAAAGCAAGACTTTGACACAAGTGACAATTGTGTAGCACAAGAAAAAGAAAAAAAGAAAAAGAACTTATTCAGCGTGAAATCAACATTGTGCAAAAGAAAAGGCCAAATCTCAAATCTGAGTGTGGAAAAATCACTATAGCAACTGAGTTGTGCTGAGAAGAGAACATGTGGTTCACTTGAACAGAAAAAGAATAAACAACTGTGAGAATGTGTTTGTTAAATCCAACATACATGTAAACACAGTGTTGCTGTTTCACCTAACGGGTTTACTAGCATGCAGAGCATTCATATCACATGAGGATATACTGTAAATAGGTTTGACTAAAGAACATTAAGATACAGATTTTGCTGTGTAGCATATCGTCTTTGACCTCATTGCAGCTGCAAACATCTACAAAGATATTTAAATGAAGGAATCACTGGGTTACTCTGTTGAAACTGTTCCTAAAAGTGCTTCCTTTTCGTTATAAGATACTACATCATAACAAGAGGCTAAGACTGGATCATCTTTCAAGGTCATCATCAAAAAAAAAAAGAAAGAAAAAAAAAAGAGCAATTTTTGGTTATTGGACATTTGAGAGCAATAACAAAATATCCTGCATTGCGTCACACAGCTTTTTAGATAACCCCTCCATTTAAACGATATGAATACAACTTTTAATAAAGTTAAATCGTATAACTTGAAGAACCTGAACAGGGATAAGGGATCACACAAATCTAAACTGCACATTCTTGACTAACAGGGCTGGGCTTATATGTTTTAAGACCGATTTATTCTTCTGCGTCAAGCGCATGCATTTGGCACATGGATGCATAGCCCTCGCCGTGGCTGATGCCGACACTGATGTGCACATCTCAAAAATTTAACTACACGTCGCAACACCGCATAGTGCAAGCTCTGTGATTGGTCGACTTGGTATTGATGAAGACTGTGGGCGGTGCTGAGAGCCACGAACCAATGGAGTAATTGTTTCGAGTTTCGAGTCATGTGAAGGAAAACCAGATGGCGACTTTTGTTTTGTTTACTTTATGATCAATGTTGTTGCTTGTGAATGAGCGAGTTTAAGCTACTTCGGTAAAAACAAAACACCTGCATAAAAACTCGACACAGAGAAACATAAAAGCCTACTGCCAGCTAGTGTTTCAGAACAACAAATAGAAATATGAATGCACGACTACGCTCAAGGCAGGCTTGGTGGGTCATGCAGAACACTCGACGCAGAAG